CATAAGGAACAAAACTGAGCAGCGACCAGTTCCGCCTGGTTACACAGAAATGCACTCCCACAGTCTCGGTTGGCTGAACATAACCAGGAGGTTCCCAACAATTTAAAACCCTTTCAAGGACTTCAGCAGAATCTGTTGAAGGCCCAAGAGTGCCTGGGAACAGTGTTGAGGTCTTGTTAGGGTGACAGTTCTCACCATCCTTGCATATAAACCCTGCCACTCAGCTCAGGGCTGGGCTGTTTTTATTTGGTTTCCTGGTTCACTGGCTGACTTGGTAGGGGTTTTAACTAAGGGACCCTGATGCCATGGTTTGCAGTAATGGATTTTCCCTTAGTGCCATTTCTATGGTGGGTTAGGCAAACTGGTCGTTTAGCTATGCGATCTTCCTAAATCACATTCACATCACTCTTAACAGATGTCTAATCAATAAAAATAAAGTACCAGGTGGGTGGAGGTGGTTGTAGACCTCAGCTTGGGTCTCAGCAAAGACATTTTTTACTACATGAAGTCATCAGAGTTTGAGACACTTTCCTATGAACATCAGAAAGATTTTCTTACTTGAATTTAAAGAGTTGAACTCTGGAAGAACATTGATTTACTCCCTACTTCAGTAAGCCAGTGAGTTCTTTCTGTGATACATACACCCACCCCACCACAAAGTCAAGACTTAGTGGTGTTTGTGTGTGTCCTCTGTGGTTTGTTTTGTTTTGGGTATGTGCTTATCTCTTCTTGCATTCTTTTGCTAACTTATGTTTTAGTCTGTCACAAGTTACACAAAAATAAGTGCTATAAGAAACACACCAAAATCCAGCACTCAAGCCCTGAATTGGCTATGTGTTTCAAACTTAACCCGGTGTCTGTAACAGGGTGAGCTGTCGAACAAAAATGCGGTAAGGCACAATATCTGTTAAATGTCTCACACCACCATGTTGTACTTCGTGCTGTACTTAGCCCAGAGAAGCCATCTGTCTTGAGTTCCCACACCCATCTCAAAACTCTCCGAATAATCACAGTTCCCTTTTCCAGGAGGAGGAGCTGAACCTCCTGATGCCATCAGCCCCCCACCCCTCCTGCCTCCTTTGAAACCTCATCCCTGTCTTCTAAAATGCATCTCCATTCAGGGCCTCTCCCTCAACAAGTACATTTAGGGCTCTTTGATTCTGAAAATTTCTTCCCTTGACATCCACCCACCCAAATCTATTGTCATACATTTTGTTCACCAAAGATAATAAATGTACCATTGTCTTATTATCTTTGTTTAACCAGCTTTATTAATCTTTCTTGCCTGTCTGTAAATAAACTTTCCAGGTCACAAAATCACATTTACCTATTATTATTTTTTAATCTGTTGTTCTCCTGAACTTCCTGCTGTACCAGATCCTCTGATCATCTTCCTCTTGGCTTACACCACTGGCCTGGTTTTCTCATTCCTCTGTGACCGGTCCTTTTGTCTCTGTTGCTGATTTAAATTCCTCCTTCCTCCCAAACCATCCCCAAGCCTTCCTTTTCCCAGAATTTTAGGCCCTACCTATCTCTCATAAGCCCTCACTTACTGTTATCCCCATCAAGGTGACTCCTAGATCCAGAATATATACTCTTGACCTCTGTCCTAACTTCCACCAGTACATTCTCAATGGTCTCTGCACATTTCTATCGGAATGCTCTGCCATTAGTTCATCATGTCTCAAAAAAGCTTCCCTTCAAACTTGCCTGTTTTCGAATTCTTCTCTTACTTACATAGCTTCAACATCTATTCTTTCCTCTTCCTTGTCATCACTGCCCAAATCATAGTTCCCAAGTCTTGTCAACTCATGGTTTTAATTCTGCCCTCTCAATTCCTACTGCTCTGCTCCTGGACTCTCATTCACATCTGAATCAGTCTCTGAACCACTCTGTCCAGTTTCTGTTCTCTCTCATTTCTCCACTTCACTGGATTAATCTTCTCATAAACTACTTTACGCTCACCCCTCCCTTGCTCAAAACCCTTTAACAGATTCCCCATTTCTACATAATTACATACCAACACAACTTCCCTCCGTGACCATCCCCCATCACACCCTGAGCTCTCTCCTATCCCACTTTCCACTTTTTATTTCTAGAACACCTACTTCCAGCCAAATATGAGTTAAAATTTTTGTATGCTCTAATGTAATATAAAAGTTGTTCACTTTCTCCAGAACGTCTCGCAAATCCCCGCTTTCTGCCTTTGTTCTTGGAACTCTCTACCCTGATTGACTTTCCCAGTCCTGAGTTACTGAATTCCTTCTTTCTGATGCCCTGGTTGAGGTCTTCCTCCACGGCCCTGGCTCCCAGCCAGCTTGTCCTCTGAAGCTCTCCAGGGGTTTTGGGTTTGCATTCATCTGGCCTTTCGCATAGAGTAGGTGTGATTTGTTATTGCAGATTTGTCTCTTCAATCTGATATGAGTTACTTGTTGGCAGGGACTTTGTCATATCAGATTGAAGACATATACGGTGTCTATGAAGTCTGAAGCCATCAATTATTGTCCTTGTTTACAAATCGCAGATGTCCTTGATGACATAATGTGTGTTGCATGCCTTCTGAACCAGATAGGTATCATGCGTGTTTCTCCTGCTGCCACATTGCCTCACACGCAGCAAATTCTGGTTTTGTTTCTCTTACGGGGCTGTCTCCACCAACCATGCGTAACTGTTCTGGTACAAATCATCTTTCCAGGCACAGCTCTGAACCTCGCTTCTCTGGAAAGCTTTCCTTGACCCTCCCACCCCTTGGCGGTCAGCTGTAGCTGTAGCACTTACTGCACGTACTATTGTTTCTGCTTTGCCTCGATCCCACCTCTGACAGTGAACTCCAGGGGCAAGAACTGTGTCTTGTTCATGCACCACAGGATGTAGTACCCAATAAGTATTTCATAACTACCTCTGAATGAATGATAAGAGGTAACAGTAACAGGCAGTGTCTGATTGCTTACTATCTGCCAAGCATTGCACTAGGCATCTTGTCTGCATGATTTTATTTAAATCTTACAACAGCCCTATGAGGAAGGTACATGACTTCCCCCATTTCAGAAGAGGAACCTGAGACTTAGAGAGGTTAATCAATCTGCCCAAGGTCAAAAGGGAAAGTGATGGTCTTGCTCCAGGCCTATGTGTCTAGACTCTTGCTACACCAAATGGAAAATGAATAGTAACCATCTTACTACCACCTCCATGGAAAGCGGCTCTATTTCTCTGTCCAGGCGTCTCTTGGAATAAGAAGGTGGGACTTGATACTATTAAATCATCTGCAGAGCTTTTTAAAAATAGGATATATGGGCCTTACCCAATGGTCATTGTTTATTACCCAAACCAATAAACACAGTTTCTCTAAGGTGGTGGCATCTGTATATTTTATTTTTATTATTTTTTTAAAGATTTTATTTATTTATTTGAGAGAGAGAGAGCACGAGTAGGGGGAGGGGCAGAGGGACAAACGGACTCCCTGCTAAGCAGGGAGCCCCATGCGAGTTTTCATCCCAGGACCCTGAGATCATGACCTGAGCCTAAGTCAGATGCTTAGCCAACTGAGCCACCCAGGTGCCCCTCATCAGTATATTTTAAAAAGCATCCTGGTAATTTTAATGTGAAGCTGGGTTGAGAGTCACTGTCCTAGATTGATGCCAAACGTCTTTAAAGTGAAACCTTTAATGGAACTTGGGCCATAATGGAACTGCCTTCTTTTGCGACTGAGGCCCACAGTTCTGACAAAAACCTAATGATGCTGGCCTGGGAATGTATTATGAACCATGCAGGGATAGAGGAACCCACAAAGCCCACAAAGATAAGGTAGGAGGAAGATCCCAAGGAAAGACCCTATCATTAAGAATTGGTTGAAGATGGGTAGCTTGATCCTATGCACAATCTAAAAGAAGCACCTGGCCATTGGAACTGGGGAGATGAGGGCGCCTGGGTGGCTCAGTTGGTTAAGCGATTGCCTTCGGCTCAGGTCATGGTCCCGGGGTCCTGGGATCGAGCCCCGCGTCGGGCTCCCCCTGCTCTGTGGGGAGCCTGCTTCTCCCTCTGCCTCTGCCTGCCACTCCCCCTGCTTGTGCTCTCGCTCTCTCTGTGTCAAATAAATAGTCTTTAAAAAAAAAAAAAAAGAACTGGGGAGATGAACTGTGGCTTAATTAAGAACTACCCTGTGTTGGGGATGCCTGGGTGGCTCAGTCAGTTAAGCGACCGACTCTTGCTTTTGGGTCAGGTTGTGGTCCCCTCCTGCTCATGCTCTCTCTCTCTAAAATAAGTAAACAAATCTTAAAAAAAACAATTACCCTGTGTCAATATGAATGAAATGACATATCATTTAATTTACACCTCATCTCCTTTGAACTTTCCCCACAGGTTACAAGAGGCAACTATCTGTCCTTGAGATTGGGATGTAAAAAAAGATGCAGCTATGTTGTTGCAAGTATCCAATGAGAAAATAAGGTGAGAACTTTCTGTGCAGTCTAATGCAATACAAGATATATTGGACCTTGATTTTCACATAGAAATAAAGATGACTCCTGTTTTCTCAAAGACTGTTATGTATGGGTCAAGTCATGATGCATGAACAGCTCTATGTTAGTTCTGTCCTGTATAATAAGCAAGTTCCTCTGTATCTAAGAATTTTGTGTTTATCTCATCCATCTAAGAGCTTCAGACTTCACCCTATTAATATGGGCAGGCTTCTAAACTATAATATTCAGCTTCAAATAAAAACATTTCCCTCAAATACGAGAACTAAACTATTAAGGAGACAGAAAATATAGTATTCTCCGCTGGGATGCTATGTGCAGACCCTCTGAGATACACAGTAGTCACTCAAGATAACTTGTGGCCTTGAGAAAAAGCACAGGGACTTTCTTTTATGTAAATTCTTCTTTTCCTTAACCCTCTCTCTTACCACTCTGGTGCCCTGAGGGACAGCTTGCAGATCACCTGTTCTTTGATTACTTGACTAGAAGACAGATTCTATTTAATAGAAGAGCGGAAGAAACAACTAGAAGTTTGACACAGTAGTTTATCTGGTTTGTCCAAACAAAATAAGAATTCTTTAGAATTTATCGAACAGTACGTTAAGAGTCTTTTTACTTTTTAGAGTAAATATGACACAATGGATAGCTTTAGAACAAGCTAACATTACTATAATTCAGACATGTGCAACTGGTACAGTTCAGTAGTACAAACACGACTCAAATGAACGTACTATGCGCCAGAAACTTAAGTTACAAAATAGAGTCAATATTACAATTAATACACATAGGTAAGTAAAAACCACTGCTTCTCGGATTCTGCACACTTAAAAAAAAACATAAACTTTACACAACAATTGAAATTATGCATTTCTACTCAGAGTATCTTACACACACACATAAGCCTAAAAAGTTATGGTCACATTTTGGTTTTGTTCCAGTGATGCACAATCACATGAAATGTTCTATCCGTTTCGTGTAAAAGAGACATTTGGCCGAAGTGCAACAGCTGCTAAGTTAAAAATATTTCCATAAAAATGTTTAGACTAAAATAATCCCAAGCATCCTGATGTTTAGGATTATTTTTGAGAGTCCTTACAAAGAATCCTTATGAATTGTAGAAATAGAAGCAGTTAGGAAATTTCAGTGTATTTTGTCTTTTTTTTTTTTTCTCCTTTTAACACAAGTAAACAAATACTGGATTTAAAGTGCAGCTTCTTTCTCCTCTCTCTTAGGTTCTCCCTCCCCTGCGAAGATCAGTTCTGTCTGTTAGAATCTCCACGGAAGGCTGGAAACCAACTGAGCGACAGTCAAGTCTGTGTGTCTCGGAAGTCGGTGATGGCCTTCCACAGTGTGCAAAGCATCCCTCCCCTGTTTAAAGACACAAGAACATGGGGAACAGAACACCTCATTTGAAACATTGCCCTTGATATATACAAGTGACTTCTTCGTCTCTAGCTGCTCTGATCAGAACACAGAGATCCCAAAGTCTTATGGGTCCTCATGTATTCTTTCTATGTTTTGTCATTGCCCTTCCCTGCCTTTCCTTTCCACTCCCACAGACTACCAGTTCCCAAAGCATCATTTCAGATTTTCAGCACGTTTGAAATGGGTCTTTATAGAATTCTGTGTGAGTCAGTAATGCATATGCTTGGCCTGATAGAGAAAACTATGATAAGAAACTGTATCACGTTATATGTGGTACGTGGATGGCAAATCAGCACCTATCCTATTATTTCTAATAATTTGTTTTAAAGATTTTATTTATTTGAGAGAGAGAGTGCACGAGAGGGGGTAGGGTAGAGGAAGAAGCAGACTCCCCGCTGAGCAGGGAGCCCAGTGCGGGACTGGATCCCGGGACTCCAGGATCATGACCCGAGCCGAAGGCAGTCGCCTAACCAACTGAGCCACGCAGGCACCCCTATTTCTAATAATTATGGCACAATCATGAACTAAATGAGAGCATTTGTTTAAGGCAGCTTTAAAATAACTGCATGGCCTCAGTCTACTCTATTATCAAGAAATTCTTTGAGTTGATTTGCATTTACTAATATAGAAATAGTGGTTTTAAGAGTGCCCAGTAATAGCTTGGCGCAACAAACTCAGTTTACTCAAAGCAAATGCAAACCAGAGAACGGGGCCCAGGACTGCTGAGATGGTTAGATCTGGTGAGGGGCCCAGCCAGGGCAGGAACCCAGACTTCTCAGCCCAGCGCTCTTTCCATCATGAAAAAGGAAGAGAAAGAAAAGTGGTACCTTAGTCTGAGGCATTTTAAATCATCACGTGTAACATAGTAGAGAACATCCTCTAGTGAATAATCCTCAGCCAAAAACTGTGGAGAAAGTAAAATATGCACAAAAATAAGATGTTTTATACACCATTAATAAATAGTAAACTCCATAATATAAACGTTGGCAATAATTTAAAAATGAATCTAAAAGGAAGTCTACCAGAAACATAATCTTTTGGAAAACAAACAAACAAACAAACAAAAAAACATAATCTTCTGGAATTATTAGGAAAAAGTCCCTCCTGTTACAAAATAATTACAAAGAAATACATCCATATGACTTCCAAATGCATAAAGATTACAAGCAACACAATTTCTGATAGGCCTTCTAATGAACAGATAAAACTCATTTGTAGTTACATCTGCTGTTCATAACATTTATATATTTTACTTATTTAAATTCAATTAGTTAACATGTAATGTATCATTAGTTTCAGATGTAGAGTTCAGTAATTCATCAGTTGCATATAACACCCAATGCTCATTACAATACGTGCCCTCCTTAATGCACATCACCTTGTTACCTCATCCCCCCCCCCCAACAATGTTTATATTTGAGAGGTTTGCTGCTGTGTAGCTTTATTTTTCTCAAGTGGATTAAAAAGTGTTCCTGGAAAGGTATTGTTTACACTTAATTTCTGGACTTATTTTTCATAGCTAATAAAAGGTACTTTTTAAAAATAATTACTATAAAATCAGAGTCCTAAATTTAAACTGAAGCTATAGTTTTAAATAAAAAAAAGTCAATGATTTAGTGGATCATCAATTACTACTCCTTAATTGTGGAGTCTTAGTTTGAGGAATAAATATTTCAGAGAACTTGAATGGATGCATCATTCTCCATAAGCAAGAGAGCTGTTAAAATTTATGTAGCAGTAACTTGTTCAATTCAGATTTCTAAGGAAACCCTAAATATTATTTAGTAGCCCAATGAATTATCAAGTAAAGAGAAAAAAAAATCTGTATTCTTAGTTACTTAAAAAATTTAAACACAAAACTAAAGCTAGTTTAATATTGTATTGGGGCCCTTTCTATAAAATAATAAAAAATACAATCTCTTTTTGTGTGTATGTGTGTATACATGTATGTAATCTTCAAACATAAGTGCTACTTCTGCTGATTACCAAAGTCTGTAAGGAGCAGAGGGAAATTAGGTTATTATAGATTTGAAAGTGTTCCTGACACAAGTTGACAGACTAGATCTATTTTATTAAATATCAATAAATAGCCACTGCCCAGTAGAGTCTAATAATGTGAGAGAACTAAAATGTTAAACAAAAGAGAGAATTAGAAACTTTACAATTTTAGTTTTGTCTTGATTTTTCCACTCTTCCTTATTTTCAGTTCAAAAATATAAAAACTCCTCAGGGGTCCTGGACCACAGAGCTTTTGCCCGCCTCATTGTTTTTGCACATACAGCAGCCCGACCCCTGAATGATTTTTCCGTCCTCACTCCCCTCCCCAAATACACATACAGATGGCTTGGTTTATTCCTACGTATGCCTTTAGATTTCAGCTCATTCACCACCTTCGGCGAGAACCTTCCCTAACCTCTTCCTCTCTCTGTCTCCTAACACTTGATTACCTTTCCTTCACGGAGTTTATCAGGGTATCATTACGCTTTATCTGTGGAATTATTTAATGACCATCTGCCGACCCTAGTCTGTAAGCCACAGGGGGGCTCACCAGTGTATATGCCCTGTGCCTCGCACACAGTAGGCACGCAACATTATGGGGTGAAAGAAAAGCTTGTCCCACGGATAGTTTTCTTTACCCGACTTATAGTGTCTTCATCAGCTCCCTTTTCTCTCAGCCACTCAGTAAGTTCAGACTCTTCAGTATTTGTGCCAGGAGAACCCCGGGGGCATATGGGCAATCCAGGAATATCTAGGACAGAATTGGGAAGGGAGGGACATTCTTAGCTTCTCCTTACAGCGGCCATCTGAGACCTCCGCAGTCAACAGACGTTTATTAATACTTTAGAAGATTTTGCTCTATCAGAAAATAATAGAAACAGTCGAGATTGGCAGTATAAATGGTAATATAAACAAAACTCTTGAAGACTACTGATAAATGGAGAGGCAGAAGCAATAATGTAATGATATTCCCACCTCATACTTTCATATCAATTATATAGTTTCTTAGAATAAACTAGTTTCACCAAAATTGTACTGTGGGTTTTTCATGTGACAAACACGAGCATAATTAGCCAAAAACTATATAATCATATAATAATCTCTTTTTTCACTATTTGCAATAATATGGAAAAAAAACACCCCAGGATATACAGAATATAAATGCATAAATGGCCAAAAATAGTATTTTATTCTAGTAGGCTCATTTGAACATTACAAAAAAATAACAACCAAAAAAGTGTTAGAGCCCTATTTACCGCAACTAATCTCAGGAAAAGATGACCATGAATCATCTTATTTGAAATTAAGTTATATCGAAATTATAGTTTGCTGCAATTCAGAATTGGGTATTTCTTAAAAGCAATTTCTGCTTGTAATCGTGGCACAAGTGACAGATGCCAATTAAACCATGAAATAAAACTGCCTGTTGGCTTCCTACCCTTTTTGTGGCAGCCTGGTTTAACAGTATCACTTTAAAATTTCCTACTATTCACCTATTGGTTGGGACTTAAGCTTCAGGTGTTTAATTTCTTGGTCTTTTTCTTCAATAGCTCGATGAAGTAGTGCTTGTAATTCTTTCTCTTTCCGAACCAATTCTTCCAGTAATCTGTAAAAGAAAATTATATCGGTTGACAGGATAATAAAGCTGGAGCAGCCAGAGTGACCTTCTAGATCTGGACTTTTCAAGCTCTAAGGAACATAGACATCCCTGGGATTTTATTGCAATGCAGATTCTGATCCAGTAATTTTGGGGGTAGGTCTGAGATTCTGCATTGCTTCTTTTTTTTTAAGTTTATTTATATATATTTTTTAGTAATCTCTATACCCAACATGGGGCTTGGACTCACAACCCAGAGATCAAGAGTCACATGCTCTTCCAACTGAGCCAGCCAGGTGCCCCACGATTCTGCATTTCTAATGAGCCCCTCCAGGTGATACTCATGTTGCAGCTCCATAGACCCCCATGTTGAGTAGTGAAGTTCTAGAAGGCTTGTACTTCCAGACAAGAATTCACCACCCCAATTGTCTGCCAAAATCGTCAGAGATATTTTATTGTTTCTTTTTATGACCATAAATGGCAAATAAATAAAGTAAAATAAAATATATATGTTAACAGAGCTGTATTTTACATGTAAAAAGTTGATGATGAATGATATAATAATCAATGCAAAGCAGAAAGGCAGTCATTTTTTTTAACTGAAAATTTGAGAAACTATAGGTGAGGTCCCCTATAGTACTCAGTAAACGGTAATGGTTGTTGCTAGGATTGTTGAGGATGTTACTATTATTCCTCTCCCTTCTAAGGGGACTGGTGAAGTGAGTAAAAGGATAGCTGTGTTCCTGGTACATTCAGTTCTTAGTTGGCATCTGATGCATTCTCCAAAGAAACAAGGAGAAACTAACATATCCTTTACATCAGAGTTCTTATTCATGAAAGGTTCACTATGCAACTAAGAGCCAACTGGTGTCCTACTCACCATTTCTAACGCTGTTCTCTGAAAAAATACTCCAAGTTAGAAAGGGAGGTGCTCTGATTTTTTTTTTTTTTAAAGATTTTATTTTTATTTGACAGAGAGACATACAGCGGGAGAGGGAACACAAGCAGGGGTAGTGGGAGAGGGAGAAGCAGGCTTCCCGCGGAGCAGGGAGCCCGATGTGGGGCTCGATCCCAGGGCCCCGGGATCATGACCTGAGCTGAAGGCAGACGCTTAACCGACTGAGCCATCCAAGCACCCCGATGCTCTGATTTTTTAGAAAACTATCGTTGGGTGACTTGGATTCAGAATTTTAAGTTAAGGTACATAATTATTCATAAGATCATCAAGATAAATTGTTGCATACCCTACAGTTCTTAGCAAACTGTATTTATTTAATTTTCTCAGTTTGGATAGATTTAACTCAGGACCAGATTCCATTCCAAAAGTTTGTTTCCGCTTCAGTTGGCATGTTCTGAAGGCAGCAACTGAAAGATGGCCCTGGGCTTGAATCTTGGTTCAGCCCCACACTTCCTGTGTTAACTTTGACAAATCACTTAACGCCTCTGGCCGTCAGTTTTCTCATCTGGAAAAGAAAAGTAAAACTTCCCGAAAGAATGACTGCGAACGTTCAGTGAGACAGCTGTAGCTAACGACGTGCCAGGACAGCATCTGACCATCAGGGAGGGCGATTCTTTCCCCAGCCACAGCCTTGGGCCTGGGGCTCAGGAGGGGCTCCTCCTCCTTTCCCACAGGACAGAGATGTGAGGCCCTTAGGAGAAAGGATTGGGGTAGAGTGGGTCGCAGAGGCGGGACAAAAAGGAAGACTCTCTAGAGGCAGCCAGAGAAGGTGGTTTGAGGAAGACAGATTGTTTAAAGACAGGAAAGTAAGTAGCGCACAGTCAGGTGGATTGAGCAGCAGGAACCGAGGGCCAGAGGAAAGCAGAGGATCGAAGGAGATGTTTATCACTCCAGCAAGAACAATACTCTAGGAAATGGACAGCAAGCTCAGCATGAATTTTTAAGGTGGCAATTTCTTGGCCTAGTAAGTATTTTTGTCTTCCTTGATGATTTATATGTATGGAATACTGATGGCGTATTCTTACTATTTTTTTTAAAGAACACAGTGACTTTTTCTAGAATTTAACCTATGTGTATCTAGACTACATATTTTCTTTTTTTTTTTTTAAGATTTTATTTATTTATTTGAGAGAGAGAGAATGAGAGAGAGCACATGAGAGTGGGGAGGGTCAGAGGGAGAAGCAGACTC